CTTCCATGTGGGCTTTGTTGCTTCTCAACTAGATGGCCGCTTGTTTAACTCCAAGCCTTTAAGACCCCAGACGCTATATCTTTTGCTAGCTGGGTACCATCAGCTTTCTTCAACACATTTGCTTATGCACTGATTTTGTATTCAGTGATCCTTTCAGGAAAGTGAGTATCATGGAATGCCAGGGTATTAGAACAAAGTATTCTTGCATTGAAGGAGTACTTGAGGAGAGGCCCAGTGTCCATCTGCTACCTTAATACTTAGCACATAAATATATGTACATAGATCTATTTCCCTATCATTATATATAAATATATATGTACATGCCTGCATTTAGACCTCTATAAATGCCATTTGCCTCCTAGTTCTTTCCTCTATTAAGGAAGGACGTTTTTGAAGACTGGGGAGCTCAGTCTGTTAGGTACGCTAGTGTAGGACTGGGATGTCCGTTAATGCATGCCCAGAGGGCCAAGCTACGGAAACAAAGGAGTGGCACACTGCAAATGCTCAAAGGTTCAGGTTTCCCGCCGGGTGGGCATGGGTGGGCGCTGCACCTGCCTTGGCCCACCTAGGCCAGGTGAATTCAATTCAGCCAATGGGGTCGACCAGGGGTCGTCCACCAGGCCTCCCTGCGGAATCCTTGAAAACGCAGGAGCCCGGAGTCGAGCAGGACACTTTTGCATGACGCTGCGAGCAGCTTCCAAGCAAGCTGTACATTTGGGAGGAGCCCTACAGGTGCCCATGTAAACCTGAAACTTCTAATGCTCATAAAACTCACTTGGATCACAAACCAGGCTTCGGTGTGGATTCTTTCTCGCGCAGAGCCAAGGACCGAGGTATATCTATCCGCAGAGAGAGATCTAACAAGTCCATGTCCCAAATCTACTCCATTCTCCCTAGCAGTGCCCTAGCCCTTACACAAAAGCAGTTCATCACAAAGTCAACTCTGGGTCACATCCAGAAAACACTTGGACGGCACAAATGAAGGTCTCTGTTAACATTTGTTATCTAAACACTTAAAGCCAGCTGTTTCTAACACCAGCTTGCTAGGAGGCCCCAGGTGCCTCCCCTCTCTGGCTTCAGTTGGCACCTCAAAATAATTATGGGGTTCATATAAATGGTCCCAGGTTTAATCAGGGTAGGCCTTTTCTTGGGATTACCAGTTGACCAGATGGGACCATATGAGCAAGGCTGACTCGCTCCTCCCCCAAGAAGAATTTACTTTAGGGGACAGCACTGAAGATAACAGCTCTGGGAGAGGGACGTGCCTGATCAGAGAACACGGGAGCAAATGAAGGGGAGGAAGCGAGAGTAGAGAACATCCTGGCACACCAAGCGTTAAGGATGATATCCCTGCTCAGAGCAGCCAATGCACAGAGAGGACCATATGGCCGGCCCCACTATGAGACATGACATCCCTCCCTGACCCCAAAGCCGTACAGGGGACAACACTGGAGACACAGTGTGGGAATTGTACCCGATCTGACCCCACCACATCAAGGCAAAACACTAAGGGCCTGCAACAGAACAAGGGAGCAGAGCAAGGAAGTCCCGAAGGAGTAACAGAAATAGACTTTGGGGCCAGGACGTGGCTCCCTGTTAAACTGGAAAACACTCCTAAAGGTCAACAAACAGACCTTGAACTATTTACAGGCTTTTTTTTTTT